CAGTCCCCAGATCCTTTCCATTGTCTTCCAATTTAGTAACCCCACTCTGGTTTTATTTCCATTTATACCCAGGAATGGAATTCTTCTCCCAAAAGTTATCTCAACTCTCTAACATTCTGGTCCTTCAGTTGGACCAACAATCCTAATTATAGTCCTATCCAACTATCAGCCTCCGCTGAGGTTTCATTTGGGGAGATACCTGCAAGGGGGAGAAACCCACATTCACACAGGCTGGCACCACTATAATACACGTCCCCAGCCCTCACCCGTGCCCTTACCTTATTCACATCTGTTCCTGGAGCGCTCCCTTCTCTCTTTCCATCAGTGACTTCTAAACCTTCACCACTTCTCCTTAAATTTCTTACTTAGAACCCCTCAATCACTCTTATCAGAAAAGCACACCTTTTCATCAAAATAACTAATGCAGAGGATGGTGGCAAGTGACAGTACAGTTTTTTAAATCTTCCTGAATTGACCATTAAAAACAGAGAAACCAGGCTGAAACATATAAAGACTCGAGGATAATATCTAAAACAAAACTAAATAACAAGGAATCGCCAGACTCCAAATCCCAAGCGAGTTGGATCAAACCACTAACCCCTATGAGACTGTGGTACACGTGTGAGAACAAAAGAAGAGGACAGTTATTGGCATCTAATGAAAGTAAGAACCACCCCTCTGCCACAGAAAAAGCTCAGGTAGGTGGGGCGTGAGAGGGTTCCTCAGAGCACCTGACGCAGAAGCGTCCTGTACCTTCTAGTTCTGTGATAAGTACGAGCCTTGTGAATTAGCAAAGCTAATCTGCCAAGGCCCCATTTCAGGACCAAGCACCGTAGTAAGACCAAACTACTAGGGACAGAATCTAAACTGGACAGCAGAGGGACAAAAGAAGAATTCAGATAAAAGTTCTGGAAGGGAACAAAGTAAGGAGATTTCGGAAAATAAGCAGTCATATACTTACAAACACTTCACAAAAATAACAGGAGAGAGAGCTCTAGAGCCATAAAATTCAGGCGTCCTTGTAAAAGTTCAAGGAAAGTAATTTCATATAAATATGAGGAATAAAAGGGTTGAGGGAAAATCCCAGATAAATATATTACAAGGAAAAACTTTAAAGAAAGCTACCCCTTCGAGCAATAAAGGCCCTCCAGAAAAACATGCCCACACAAACGTGAAAACTATAACCTACTATTTCAAAACAAGCAAAAGGACAAAAATAGTAATGGAAGAATGAAAGAACAATTTAAGCCAGAATTAGAAAAACTCACAAAGGATGTGAAATAACTCAGAAAGAATTAGAAAAACAATCATGTTAGAAATGTACACTAAAGTAGAAAGAACATAAGAGTTAATAAAAAACAGATAATGCCTTAAGACAAATAGAACAGGGAAAAAGGCAGGAAATTTTTTTAAGTAACAAAATAAATGAAGAAACTCCTGGTTCTGGATAGGACTGAGTAAGCATACTACACTCTCTCTCTCCCACTGATTACAACTAAAAGTCCTGGACAGCAGACATAAAGCAATATAATCAATTGCCAAGGGCTCTGAAAACTAAATAAAGCATGTGAACTCAGTAGGAAACTCAAAATTCAAACAATGACCCACAAAGTGGTGAGTTCCCTAGTTTGTCTTTTATTGCCTATATCCCCCAACTTATATTCTAGGGCAGCCAGAATCCCAGAAGAAAAATGCTCTCCCTACACCCTCCAGACCCAAACCCAGGTGAGCCCCAGTAATGAATCTGCCTCCTCATGGTAGTAGTGACAGTGAAAACAGGTGTAACCCTGAAGATTCTTTTCTACCTTTCTAGAAAGACAACCAGGAGAGGGGGTTCTTGGGAAACTGACAGTGTGAGAGAAGATCACAGAGTAGGGGGCTGGAGAATCAAGCCCTTTAAATTACTGAATGAGATCCTGAGTTGCACATGCATAGAACTGACCAGGGTCAACAGAGCAAGAGCTGTGAGATCCAAACCATGATGGAGACCACCCCCATGTCTTGCTAGATTGGCCCATATGGAGAGTTGTATTAGTTTCCTATGGCTGCTGTAAAAAATTACTGCATTTTAAACAGAAATTAACACAACATTATAAATTGACTATACTTCAATTTTTCAAAAATTACTATGTTTTAGTGGCTTAGGACAACACAAATGTATTATCTTATGATTCTGGAGGTGAGAAGTCTAAAATGGGTCTTATGGGCCAAAATCAGGTGTCAACAGAACTGTCTTCCTTCCTGGAGCTCTAGGAAAGCCTTTTTTTTTTTTTTTTTTTTTTTGCCTTTTCTAGCTTCTAGGGGCTGCTTGCATACCTTGGCTCAGCCCCGCTTCCTCTGCCTTCAAAGCATATCACTCCAACCTCTGCTTCTGTCAGCACATCTCTTTCCGACTCTGATCTTACCACCTCCCTCTTATAAGTGCCCATGTGATTACACTGGGCCCAGTCAGATAATCCAGGATAATCTCCCCATTTCATAATCCGTAATCATATCTGCAAAGCCCCTTTTACAATAGATACATTGAAAAAGAATATTAAACATGTTTAAATAATCCAAAAGACTCCAAGAAGGGGGAAATATAGAGGTATAAAAACAGAGGACAGACAGAAAACATATAATAATATGACAGAGTTAAATCCAAACACATCAATAATTACATTAAATGTAAACCACTTTACACCCATTAAGATGGCTGCCATCCAACACACACACACACACACACACACACTCAGCAACAACAACAACAAAACAAAAACAAAACAACAAGTGTTGGTGAGGATGGGGAGAAATTAGAAACTTTGTGCACTGCCGGTGAAAATGTAAAATCGTGTGACCATGATTATAAACAGTAGGGTGTTTCATCAAACAATTAAAAATAGAATTACCATGTATGATCCAGCAATTCCTCTTCTAGGTACATATACAAAAGAATTGAAAGCAGAGACTCAAAGAAATATTTATACAGCCACATTCACAGCATTACTCATAATAGCCAAAAGGTAGAAGAAACTCAAGTGCCCATTAATGGAATTTTCTTTAAATGGTATATACATAAAATGGAACAGTATTCAACCTCAAAAAGGAAGGAAATTCTGACACATGCTATAACATGGATGAAACTTGAGGACATTATGCTAAGTGAAATAAGCCAGTCACAAAAGGACAAATTCAGTAAGATTCCACTTACATAAGGTACTCAGTCATATTCATAGAGATAACATAGAATGGTGGTTGCCAGAGGCTGCTGGGAGGAGGGAATGGAGAGCTGTTCTTTACTAAGTACAGAGCTTCAGTTCTGTAAGTAAGAGTTCTTGAGATGGATACTGGTGATGGTTGTACAACAATGTCAATGTACTTAATCCCTAAATGAACTGTACATTTAAAAATGGTTAAGATGGTAAATTTTATGTTGTGTATATTTTACCACAATTCTTTAAAAATTACATTAAATGTAAATAATCTAAACGCCCCATTTTAGTTTTTAAAGACTAAAAAGATCCAGGTTTCTTTCTAAAAGAAGCCCACTTAAAACATAACAATACAGAGAAATTAAAAGTAATAGAGACATGGTTATGAGAATGAAAAGACAAGCCACAGACTGAGAAAATATTTGTAAAATACATATCTGATAAAGGACTGGTATCCAAAGTATACAAAGAAACTTAAAACTCAACAGGAAGAAAACAAACAATCCAACTGAAAAATAGACAAAAGATTTAAACATCTCATCATATACAGATGGCAAATAAGTATTTGAAAAAGATGCTAAACATCGTATATCATTAGGGAATTTCAAATTAAAACAACAGTGAAAATACCATTACTCACCTATTAGGCCAAAATCTAAAACACTGACATCATCAAATTCTGGTGAGAATGTGGAGCAACAGGAACTCTTATTTGTTGCTGGTGTGAGTGTAAAATGGTAAAGCCATTTTGGACAACAGGTTGGCAGTTTGTTACAAAACTAAAAATACTCTTTCTAAGATAATCCAGCAATCGTGATACTTGGTATTTACCCAGTGAGCTGAAACTTATGTTCACATAAAAACCTGCATATGAGTATTTACAGCAGCTTTATTCATGACTACCAAAACTCGGAAGCAAAGAAGATACACTTCAGTAAGCAAACAGATAGCAGACTATGGTATATCCATTACAAGGAAATATTATTCAGTGTTAGAAATGAGCTATCAAGCCACAAAGAGACATGAAGGAACTAAATGCATATTGCTAAGTGAAATAAACCAATCTCAAGGGGTTACATACTATATGATTCTAACTCTATGACATTCTGGAAAAGTCAAAGCTATGGAGACAGTAAAAAGACTAGTGGTTGCCAGGGCAGAGCAAGGAATGAACAGGTGGAGCACAAAAGACGTTTAGGGCAGTGAAGTTAGTCTTACTGATACTGCAATGATGGATACATGTCAATACGTACATTTGTCAAAACTCATCAGACGTATAATACAAAGAGTGATCCCTAATTGTAAACTATGGACTTCAGTTAATAATAATGTATCAGTATTTCCTCATAAATTGTCACAAATGTACCACAGTAATGTAAGATGTTAATAAGGAAGAAAACAGGTGGGGGGGACAGGTAAGAGGATACAAGGGAACTCTGTACTTTATGCTTAATTTTTCTGCAAACCTAAAACTGCACACACACACGCACAAGCACAAAACACATGTCTATTAATTTTAAAAAAGCAATGTGCAAAGGAGTACCTATGATAACTCCCTCTTGTGTAAGAATAAATGGAGAAAATAAGAAAATATACGTGTAACTGTTTATTTAACAGAAGAAACACCAGATAAACTAATGAGACTGCTCATTATCCACAGTGGAAGGAATGGGGGCAGTGACACATCTCTGGGCCTATTTTGCACAGTCATGACTTTCTTAAATATGTCACTGTTTTACATTCCAAAACACACAAACAACAAGAATGAGAAGGACCTTAAAATTGAACACAAATAACAACAACAAAAAAAGAACTTAACTATACTTTATTTCAAAGAATAACATAACCATAGTAGATGAGGGTAGAGGAGATTAACCCAAGTAACTTTTGAATACAGAATTTAGACAATATACCTTTAGACTAAAGACAAAAAGCACTATAAATAGAATTTGAACTCTGTTTAGTAGGCTTAGATTTTTGGTGGTGTGGGCTAACTTACTTAACTACTTTTTATGTAATAAAGAATTCAGAAAATAAATATATTCAGGATAAAGGGAGTCATACATTTCTTGTCGGAGAAGGAAGATCCATAAATGGAAAGATAAAAGGCTATGGGAAAAGAAAGTGAAATGATAGGAAAAAACTAATTTGAACACTAATTTAAAAAAATTGAAGTAGCTATATTAATAACAGCCAAGGAAGACTCTGAACAAGGACAATTAAAAGGACTGAAGAGGAATATTACATAATGAGAAAAGGTTCAATGCACCAAGAAGACATAACAATTCTAAATGTGTATACAACTAACAACAGAGGTTCAAGATATAAGAAGCAAAAACTGACAGAACTAAAAGGAAAAACAGACAAATCCACAGTTACGGTTGGGGAGTTCAACACTCCTCTCCCAGAAATTAATACAAGTAGACATAAAATCAACAAGGATATAGAAGATTTAAACAACATGAGCAACTAGTGTTATCAAGCTGAAATTTATAAAACCCTCCACCCAATGACAACAGAACACACATTCTTTTTTTCAAGTCAACCTAAAACATTAAGCAAGATAGATCATGTGCTAGGTAACAAAACAAACCACAATAAATTTAACAGAATTAAAATCACACAGACTATGTTCTTTGACCACAATAGAATTAAATGAGAAGTCAGTAACTCAAAAGCTGGAAAATTCCAAATATTTGAAAACTAAACAATACACATTTAAATAATCAATTTGGGGAGAAAAAGAGCATTTTAATTGGAATGGAGCACCTGGAAAGCTTCTGGATTGGCTAACAACATGTTATTTTCTTTACCTGCATGATGGTTGCATCTTAAAACCGTTTATGATAAGCTACATGTTTGTTTTAAGCAATTTTCGCTATCTATTATGTTTTGTAATAAAAAAGGTATAAATTCAACACATGCGTAAATATTTGATAGGAAAAGGATGACACAATCAGGAAATTTCATTTCCTAAACTTCACAATACCCCATCCCCTCCCTAAACTTACCACCTCCAAACTGTACCCCCAGTTTCTAGTCTTCAGAATAAAATATCCTTATTCTTACTCAAGACCAACATTCCCACCTACGCTCCTGATTTTATACCCTCCCGTCTGGAATCTTGATCCATTAATAATGATTTGTTCCAAATCTTCAACATCCAACTGTTCTAGTGAGGAAACAGGGTAACGGTAAACAGCTGGGTTATTGCATCAAAATCCCTGGGTTCAAATTCTGTTTCTGCTCTTGACTAGTTGTCAGCCATGTAACAATCTCTGTGATTAACTCTCCTCATTAGTAAGATGAGGAAAACAGTGTCTATGTCACAGGGATGTTGTGAAGAGTAAATGAGTTAACAGATGTAAAGCCCTTAAAAGAGGGTCTGAAATCCAGTATCTTTTCAATAAATGTTAGCTACTATTATCTCCATTCCTTCAGTATACAAACATGCTCAGTTTTTTTTCCACTTTCATCAAAATCTTTTCATCAACCCTGTGTTCCTCTCTAGTTACGATCTCACTCCTTCCCTTTTTCCTGAAAACAACAAAGATCACCAACTGTCGTATCTACTGGCAATGTTTTAGTATATATTTCATTGGTATCCACTAAAGCATTTGATGCTGTTGTCCATCTTGAACATAAAATCATCTCCTCCTGTGACACCACTTTTGGCTATCCTGCTTTTGAGAAACTATGATCAGTCACCTTTGTGAGAGACCTCTTCTAGTGCTGTTTAAACACCACTGTTCCTCTATGTACCATTTTCATTCTGCTTTGAAGCACTGCCTAAGTGGTCTAATTTCACACTCACAGTTTGAATAACACTTATGGCAGCTAACCCCTACAGTCTCCAGCTCTGAACTGTCCTAAGCTTTAGATATATCCGAATATCTGTTGGACCTAGATGTCAAAATGTCCAACACTGCACTCACTCCAGATTTGCTACTCTCTCCTGTTCGTTCTCAGTTAATAGTGCTACTAATCTAGCTGATTATCCAGGCAGAAACCTAAGTGCAATTCCAGGCTCCTGCTTTATCCTCATCCCCAAAATGCAATCATTCAGTCCTAATGAGCTTACCTCTACATTTTCTAAAAACTGTCCCTTTCTCACCACCCCTACCACAATTTCCCTAGTTCAGATCTACAGCATCTCTCACCTGGAATGCAAGAGAGGCAAATAAAGTCCTTGTTGACCTCTCATACTACGTTTTTCTTCAACTTGCTTTAAAATAAAGCAAACTAGAAGTGCACATAGTTGCCTGAACTTAACATGTTTGCCTCTGTTTCTACACTGTTCCTTCTGCCTGTAATGTTCTCCTCTAATTTTTTTACTACACATATTCCTTCATTTTTTAGATGCTGTTAGAATATCATATCCACCAGAAAAATCTTCCATGAATTCCTAGGTGACTTAAGTTCCCTTCCTTTATGCTCCAACAGCACCTCAACTAAACCATTATTACTGCATTTACTTAATTTAAAACATGTATTTTTCCCTCTTACTATGTCTTCTTCTACTGAATATTTATTTGCAAGGGCAGGGGGCTGTTTCACCTAGCTTTTTAACTCCCATGCCTAGCACACACTTGGAATATGACAGGTAGTCAACATATCTTGTTGAAAGAGAGTAGTTATTTTCCATTTGGTATATATCTGTCAAATTAATATTTCTAAAGCTCCATTTTCAACATGCCATGGTGCTGTTCACATGATAAAGTACAAATATCTTAAGCCTGGTCCTCTATAACAAGATCCGCAAACTACCTATATAGCTTTATCATCCACTATATTTCCTTATATATGTATTTTTAATTTTAAGCCAGTCTACTAACAGTCTTCCAAAACCTCCCCTACCTCCACAAAATACTACAACCCATAAAAATGTTGGCCTATTAAATTCAATACTTACTTAGCAACTCAATAGCAATTAATCCACAATGCTGTATGACACTAAAAGCACTGTAATAGATACCTGGATAGAATGGTCACACTGCCAAGTTCCTTATCTCCAGCAAATGACTAGTAGAGGAAAGGCCAAGGTATCTTTTTGTTTAACTTGTAAAAGACATCACAGAAGAAAAACACTGAACTTTTTCTGCTATACTCACCTTTTTCCCTCCAGTCCAGGCTTCTTTCATCTTTCTTAGTTTGAAGCTCATCGGGAACGAAGAGGAAAGGATTAGCTAATATAAGACTTCCTTCCCCGAAGCCATGCTTCTTCTGTTAAACAAAACACTAAGCAGAAAAAGTTCTAGACAGCTGGAATTTCATAAAGAAATAAAAAGAATTTCAGTAAGAAAATCAGGGTGTCTTATGACCTTTAGTGTGTAGCCTCTTAGACCTGCCACATCAGCCATTAATGGTAGAGATCATTAACCCAAATGGTCCTACACAGACCAATATACCAATCGTTTCTGTTTCTGCAACAAGAGTGCTGTCAGGAGAAAACTTAGCATTAATACAAGTCAAAGAAACAGTAAAACCTGACTCCATCACCTCTAAGCGCTCACTCTGAAGATAACTGCTGCCCCTAAAGCGGGGAGAAGCCACCAGTGCAAAATCTTCCAAAGAACACTACTTCCCTCTGATTTCTTGTACCTAATACATTAGCCTAATGAAAGGAAAATGAGGTTAGGAGGGCAGAGGCGGGAGCAAACCAGGAGCACATGTGATTACTCAAATATCTCAAAATGATTTGTAAAAATAATCCCCAAATGAAGGCATTCCTTCTAAGAGATTTCTGTTGGGTTAACCAACCAAACCACAAAGTTTCAGGGTCAGTTCTTACAAGAATAGAGAATATTAAAGTAGCCAATACTTACCCACCTTTGTATTTATTATTTCTAATCTATACAATTCTTTCAGGTGTCCTGGCTGGACGGTTTCATAAGTGAACCCCAAATGTTATTATCTTTAGCTTTTTTCCTGTTGGGCTGATGGTATTTCCCAGAGAAGGCTCTGCTACTCTCCTATCTGGAGAGTCTTGTCCTACTTTCTGAAAGCAGCTTTTTAAGTGTCCCACTCTTACACATGAACAGATAGCAAAGAATTACCAAACATTTTTTTTAAAGGCTGTAATACTAAACAGGGGCTAAAACAAAAAGGGAAAAGCAGCTTGGAAGAGAGTCCATGCAGGCAGAAAAAACTAAGTAAGAAAAAATAATTATTAACATCCTCAGAGAGAAGAGTTGATTTTGCATCCGTGCAACAAGAACAAAATGATACTTTAAAAAAATTTAAGGGAAAAAATAGCTTTAAAAAATTACATACAGAAATAAAAATTGGGGAGGAAATGACACAATTTAGAGAACAAGCTAGGTGGGTCAGTATCTGAGTAACAGTAGTTCTAGAAATGGAGAACAAAGAAAACAAAGGGAAGCACATTATAAAGAAATAACTCAGGAAAATTTCTTAGAACTGAAGGGCACGAATTTCCAGAGTGCAGAGGCCAATGGATGCTAGCCCACAGACACCCACCCAGACATGTCTGGGAAATTCCAGAATGTCAGGGAGAGTGAAGATTCTAAAAGCTTCAGGAAAGAGAAACAAAATCAGGAAAATGGGTCAAGGGTCAGAACAGCACTGGAATTCTCAAAAGCAACACAGGATATAAATGACAATTAGAAGAGAAAGGTGAAGGATGGCAGTGAAGGAGGTCTCAAGAAAATGACTATGCAAGACCTTGGTACACACCAATGCAAAATTGGCAAAGGCTAGAATGCTCCAGGAGACCTTGTCTCGAGATGAAATGCTAGCATATCTTACATGTTTGAAGATACTAAAAAGGGTGTTGGACTGCTGGGGTTGAGTTTAGGGACAAGTAGTAGTTAATACATAGAAAACTAGGCAAATAACAACAAAGACTTATTAAGCAAAAAGTGTACAGGGAAGGAAAACTAACCATAGTATACTAAATAGTTCAGCTGTCCATAGTTTTCACATAGTCACAATAATGTAAAAACTGAGTAATGATGTAATGAAAATTATAACCAGCTGGGAGGGTAAGAAAACAAGACGTGTGGATGTGTTGGAGACAGATATGACTCTTCTCTTCCATGGTGGGAAAGCAAAAGACAATGGAAAAACTAGAAAAAGAAAAAGCAATCGTATAAGAATATTATTTAGAAACATAGAGATGCCTACCAAAATAGTTTCAGATGTTGAAAACAATTGGTCCTGAGGAAACTGTTTCTTTTTGTGGGGTTTATAATAAGCCTTCTAGAACTACTTTATTCTTCAAAGTACATACATACATACATGTTTCCAACTTAAAAATAAATTTTAAAGCAAGATTAAAATAATTTCATTTATAGTATTTAAAAAACCCAAACCATTTGTACGGATACATGCAAATGTAATATTTGTATAATTGAAGAAATAATGATTAAAACTTACTGAACACTTACTATGTGCCTGGTGCTGTTCTAAGTGCTTTACATATGTTGACTCAAGTACATAGCCTTCACAATAACCACTGTGGGTTTAATGCTATCATTATCCCCCATCCTACACATAGACTGACGTGCAGACAGGTGAAGTAACTTGCAGCATGTCATGCAGCCAAGAATAACACAACCAGGATTCAAACTCAGTCAGCCTGGCTCCAGCACCCATACTATTATCTTCTCAAATAACAACTTAAAAACATAGACAGGGAAGATGTTCATCAAAGGCATCAGTGTGGCTTCCTCTGGGGAAGAAAGAAAAGGAATGGGAGTGGGGAGGAGTAGAAAGCAAACTTCAACCCTATTGAGAATTTTTTTTCTTTAAAAAAGAATGAAAAAAATTATGATAAACTGTTAACATTTAATTCTAGACAGTGGGAACATGTACATTGTATTACTCTCTGCAGTATTCTGTAGTTTAAAAACTGTTTATTAATAAGGGTGAAAAATTATCTTTCACCTTAATGATAGGTCAGTTAAGAATCCAAGCTCTGAAACCACACAAGATGAATCCCAGTTAACACTCATTTGTTGTGTAACCTTGGGCAAATTGCTTAACCAACTCCTTATTTTAGTTTCCCCTTCTGTGAAGTGGAACCAACAACAGTTCTAACATCAGACAACTGCTGTGATAATTAAATGGTTAATTCTTAAAACAGTACCTAACACTCAGAAGTTTGCTATCACTACTACCATACTTCCTGTCATCCAAGCGTTGGCCACTATTAGATAACATCTTGTTTACTCTTTGCCCACTGAACTGTAAGCTCCAAGAGAACCAGGACCTTGCTGTCCTGTCCTCAGCTATAACTCTAATGCCAAGAACTGTGCTTGGCGAGTGGCAGTTGCTCAAAGAAATTTGTTGAATAAATTTTGACTTGTGGTGACACGGAACTGCTTGTACTTTCCCCTGCAGCTGTCATGCTGTTTCACTCCTCAGCCTGCACTTCTATTGTTCCTTCCCCTTGGAGACGTTGTCTATTCTGATGCTTCAGCTCAGGCGTCAGTTTTCCCAGGAAAGCTTCTTCGAGGTTGGGCTACATGCTCCTCCTCCGTACACCTAACAGTGCCTTATGCAGAGCTCAACAGTAACATGTGCTCTATCATACTGAAATGATGTGTGTGCGTCTGTCTGTCCACACAAGAAGTCAAGCATAGTAGTTAAGAGCATCAATTCTGGAGTCAGTCGGCCCGAATTGGAATCCTGGCTGTGTGACCCTGGGCAAATTACTTCATGTTTCACTTTCCTGATCTGTAAAGTGAGGATAATAAGAACAATTATAACGTTCTCACAGGATTAAAATAGTGTCTATTCGTATTTGTGAAACACAGAACAGTCCCTGGCACCTAGTAAATATGATATTAAATATGTTATAAAAAACCTCATTGAAGGCAGACACAATGCCTTGCCCATGTTTACATTCCCTCAAATTGATGACTTTTACGCTAGTCCAAACAAAAGGATTAGTGCCCAAACTAAGTCAGCTGCAATAAAGATAGAGAAAGGTGATGGATATGAGACATGTTTAGAGTAGGGGAAAAAAAATCAACTGAATGTGCTGCATTTTAGAATAAGATACACCATAAAGAAGATAAAATTTAGGATGACAGGATTTGGATACTTGATGAGTATGGTTCCATTCACAAGATGGAGAATATAAGAAAAGCAAAAAGGAGAGTTCTTGGCAAATTTTTAACAAAATGTTTCATTCAATGCTTAAAGAGAGAAGAACACTTAAAAAAAATTTTTTTTGAATCCTGATCAACCATGAGAGAAATCTGGCACATTACATCTAAAAGAATTTAAGTTCCATGAAGACAGGGACTTTGTTTTGTTTGCTGCTTTATTTCCAGCTCCATCAACATTGCCTGGCATATAGTAGGAACTTCCTATATATTTATTGAATCTACAAAAGGATCATTTAGATAAATTTCAGCTTTCTATATCAATTAAACCAAAAAAAATTAAGCATTGAACAGTCAAACATTGCTTTAAATTCCTACAAGAAATATAAAATATGATACTTCCCTTGTATCCCCTTTCCCACATGAATAAATTACTAAGTTTTACATAATATTAGTAATTTACTATGTTACACAGTACAAAATACAGCTAAGCTCTCAGAAGGAACGATATAGTAAGGGAGATTTATTGGTATAGAATCTATGCCCAGTCCTGAAATATGGGCAAGATTTCAACAGGTGAAGATAAAGATACCCCAGGGTGACTGGTATGGATAAAGTGATATGATACAGTATGAAAGGTCATAAGAAACTAAGAAGAAACTAAGTTTTGGTAAAGTGGGGCTAGACTCTAGAAAAGCCAGATAGAGGCTTATCTAAACACTCAGATAAAATTTTTAAAAATCTTGTTTCCCAGGTTTACCAGTCTTTTGATAGATATACACAACCAAAAGTAAAAATTATACAACTTGCAAAATCAAGAAAAACAAAGTCTTACATAAATTCTACCAGCTCCTTTTCACTGTGATTCCCAAACAGAGAGAGAGAGAAGAAAGTTAAAGATTTATATTGAGGAAGATTAGTATACTAACCTTGGGACATGAAAAGGTAGCTCATGATAGCAGAAACATGAGCAGTCTAAAGCTAAGAACATCTATTCACGTAAAGCAACAAGCCTCTCAAAATTCTGGTATGAAATCTCTTTCCATATTTAAATTCCATGTATTGTTCAAAATATGCTGGTAATCACCTGATCAAAGAGAAAACACTATAAAATAAATGAACCATACTACTTGATCGTCTGTTGCAGCATAGTCTTCCAATTAGAAAAGCAAATTCCAGAAGTAATCCATTTGCTTCTATACAACATATTTTAGACAATCTTCAACTGAAATTAAAACCACACTTTCTCAACAAAAGAACTTACAGTTAAAAAATACTGAGGGCTACTAAAATATAAATGAATCATATTAACAAGATTTTTGGGGTGCTTAATAAGCATCAATATGCCTTAGCTGCAGAACAGATGAATTCAGCTTGAAAAGTAGCATTGCATTTGCAGCCAACAGTAATCATAATTAAGCTAAAGAAAGACATGTTTTTCTTGTCATCTTTATTCAAGTATTTCACAGCAGTTATATTACAAATTACAGTAAATGTTCAAAATTCCAGAATTCAAAAATTAAATAATTTACTTCGAACTAATGTAAAATGAAGTCAAATGCAAAACATCAATTTAACACAATTCTAAATTAAACTACAAACCCAAAATAGACCATAGTTGATGAAGTCTACTTAATCTACAAAGCAGACATACATGACTGAAACCAAAGAGGACTCCCAAAGTCTAAATAACCGAATGTACAAAATATAAAAGATGCAGGTACAAGTCCAAATTCAAGCTTACAATGTGATTACAAATAATAATTATAATAACAATGGCATTCAGCTACGGGACCTGACACTGAAGATACCTACTGAATAGCACCATAGCTGAACCAACTTAATCAAAAAAATGGGAAGATATTACCACCCCACTCCCTAAAAATAAAATCCAGTAAACCTACAAATACATTGGCATATGAGAAAAATCAAGTCATGAAAGGACATAAAACAAAAAAATTAATCACAGGTGAAATTCAAGCTCAAAAACACAATTAACTCCACAGCCATCAGTTTCAACCCTAGTGCGGTTCCATCATCTTCAAAAGGCTCCTATGGTCCCCACAGCTGAATATTAACTATTGTTGGGCTGTGCTGTGATACGTATTTTAGTGATCTGAGAGCAAGGTTTTACACAGGAGCTTATCATTTATAGTGCTCACAATAGGAAATAAGAACAGAGGTCAATTTGTACATATTTTTGCCAATGCTATACAGCAAAAATTAAGAACTTACAGAAAGGTAAACAAAATTGAGTCCGCTTGAATAATTTCACAAGCTGCTTTAAACTATAGAACCACCAGATATCTGTAAAATAAGCAGAACTAGTTTGGTGTTTCTTTTAAAAAGGCCAGAGGAGTTGGTACAATTTCGGCTCATTTTTCTCCCCCTGGCATTAGATTGGCTTTCTCTTTAAGACCTAAACTGTTCAAAGTGGCAGTTCCTATCATACTGAGGTTGCCTTCTATTTCTCCATCTATCTCAAGGTTAAAATTATAAAACTTGATCTTTTGGAAGCATTTTAATGCTGAACATAAATCAACTTCCCTTGTCAAACTCACTGATGGCTAAAATTGTACAAATTTAGTAACCTACTAAGAACATGTGCATTTTTTTTCCTTTCACAAGTGCTGCTGTTACTTGAACAGAATGCTTCTGAATTAGAGTAACTGGAATAAATATTTAAAGAAAAATAGTGCAGCAAGAACCTGAGACTTGCAAAAAACCCTTTTACCAGAAACTTGCTACAAAAAATCTGCTACATCTTATTTCATCAAATCTTAAATTCTGTAACAATTTCCATCAAAATACAAAATGCTAATGTATTAGACAGTAAAATAGCCTGAACTGGTATGATGGTAATAAATACTAAAGAAAGCATGAAAATCCTCCCAATAATCAAATTAGAGGTTTCAAATAACCTCCCCTTTAAAATTGGTTCATCGTTAATCGCACTTGCCCACCTTAAAAATACAGTGTGTCTACATCGGTAGCATCTTGAATTATATGACTAACTGAATATTATGAAAACTTCATAGACAGGTATAAAGAAAACAAGTGGCATTATTTAAAAATTAAGCTAGAATTAGAAGGCGTAAAAGTTCATGTAAATGCAAAGAAGCACTT